TGTACGGTTGTGTGTGATGGACTTCTAAAAAGATTTTTAAACTGCTGTGCAAGCATAGGACAGGACCTTGAGTTCTTTATGATCTCTTGACTTGATCTCTGCTGGCAGCACAGCCCAGAGGTCATAAGCTTTACACATTTCTTTCTAAGTTTTTTCATTATGCTCCAGCATTGGCATAAAGGAAGAGACAATCCGTGTACAGAACAATGTGCAGGACAACAAGTATCACATGGATGATTAAATCCATGCTCAGAAATCTTAGCTCAGAAAATGAAGTGTGTCATTCATGTTGCATTAAATCAATATACATTAAAGCAGACTGAACAATTTGTGGGCACTAATGTTTAAATCACCCAGTAGGCCTACACATTCACATATCACCAAGTATCGCCTGCCAGGTGTGGCAAGGGCACTGGATGTGCCTTGCATCTAGACTCTACGGGCATTCAATAAAATGTCTCATTTAAGTTTTTTTGCAGTGTATATACTGTATAGTATATATATATAGTGGTTGGGCAAAAAATACTTAAATGAGAACATTGAAAATGATAAGACAAGGAAAAAAACACTGCACCTGGAAGAGAAAATTGGTTAGGACAGCATACACAAAGATATACACAAACATAAAAGTCTGTGTATAGAGGTTAAAGTCTTATTTAATCTAACCCTTCTAAGCCCTATTTAATCTAACCCTTCTAAGCCCTATTTAATCTACCCTTCGTCTAACCTCAGTACTTTCCCTACACCCTGGATGCTGCCTAGGCAGTATTTTATGGATTTTATGGTACTACAATTTTAATTAATCTTTATCTGATGTCTTCAGACCTGTCATATGATTTACAGGCAGGAGTGTGCCTAGGTAATTGCTGCCTGAGGTGGCTATTTTTGTCACTCCAGCCCCCACACGTGGCTCACAGGTTCATCTTCTTTCCCTCTTCACCAGTATTGGATAGCATTGGTCATGCAGAGCGCCTCTCTCTGTATTGTTATACTGTGTGTGCAGGGTACCATGGTGATGCTGGGCATAATACAACCTAGAAGACTGAGGACATCTTGTGATGGAAATTAATTACTGTAGGGACAGCTCTGCATAGGAGGTGAGTATTGCAACAAGACCATTTTTTAATTTACTATATACATTATATAGATAGATAGATAGATAGATAGATCAGGCATGAACAGCACTCTGTTTGAGAAATGTCCTTTGCTATGCCAAAGGAGAACAGTTTTCTAAAATATCCATAACCAGATATGGACTTGTATTATCTGTGTATGTAATATTATTCAAGCTAAGAAAACAAACTTTTTCATGCAGTAGGTATTTAGTAGCATTCTTACGGTGTTTGCATCTGTAAATGATGTAATTAATCACATAAGACAACTTTGGCTTTATATTAAAATGGAAATGGCTGCTGTTTGAAAATACATCTGTTTACAAGAACAGATTAATTTTTTTTCCTCAAAAACCAAACCAAGTGCTATGCTTGCTAGTCACAAACAAGTCTTTCAATTAAAGAAGCTGTCACCGACCTACACCTAAGGGTTCATGCGTCCAAAATTAAATCAGAACCAGTCCATTAATTAAGTGAAATGTTTAATTTGGATTTGTGTATTTCATGCATTAGTAGTGCACAGATTTTTAGCTCACAAATCAATTCCGGAGAGGAGTCATTTTTATCACTTACAGACTAATAATACTTTAGTCACTGTGTATATTTACTGTCCAGATTCTTTACATTAAAGTAGATGTGAACTCGAAAAAGTAAACATTTTCTGTTATAGGGAACATTTAGGAGTGTTGATTGTGCATGAGCAGTACCCTGAAAAAGTACATTTTGTCTGGAATTCCTCCTGATAACAGTGCACACTGGTATGTGAGTGTGCCTACAGCTTTATAGCTATACTGTATATCTGGTGTGTAAGATGTACTGCACTGCTACCTCTGACTGCTCGTCTCAGGAGATTTGACATAAGAATTGATCATGTCATTACTGTGCTGCTCACTGTCCTTCTTGCTGGAGCCTCTGAAATGAGGAAGCAAAGACCTGCCTCTAAAAAGATGGCTACCTCCATACAGAACAAGGCCCGGCAAGAAGTACAGTATTAAAAAGATTTAAAATCTATTGTATCAATCTATTTCTCAAAGGAGCATGGAGCTTCGTTTGCTTTAAATTCTACATTAGAGAGACAAGTGTAAGCAGTGTAACAACTTTACTAGCTTTAACATATCCTATAGATTCTTAGTAGGGATGCCCTTCTGGAGTCTGAACATGTGCTCATCTATTTTCCCCGCTTTGGGGATACAAGCCTTAGTTAGCAATGGCATGATAAATATTCATTTCATGTTCATTTCATGTTCTTCGTAATATTAAGAAACTGACCTAAAATCCTGATTTTGTATTGCTTTGGAAAAAATATGACCTGTCCCTTTAAGAAAAAGTATCGGTAATTGGTATTGGCGAGTACTTGAAAAAAAGTATCGGTACTCATACTCGGTCTTAAAAAAGTGGTATCGGAGCATCCCTAATTCTTACTTAAACCTAATGAATGAAAATAAACCAATCCGCTGACATGAGTTTACCCCAGTATTTCTTGCTCCTCAGTAGACCCCAGCACCTTCAATTAGAAAGCATAATCTTTTCGATAATGCTCCTTTACAAATGTTATGTTGCCACAGCTAATGTTGCCTGCAAATGCTGACAAGGAGAACCATGTGCATTAGAAAGAAGGAAAAAACTACAACTGGATGAAAAGGAACAGTCACATTCTTATTATGTTATTAGTAATACATTTTAGCAAGCATTACTACTTGATGGACATACTTTACAAAAGGTATTACAATTCTCTGTGTCCAGTACAGGGTGTCAAGCAAAACAAACGACAAACGCACTCAATAATTTGTCACCAGTTATACAGTAAGGTGCACACGAAATGGGCTTTGAACAGTAAAACAGTAGAAAGGCATCATGGCACACTCACAAACCAGCATGTAAAACAACTTGTCTCACCACTAAGGTCAATAACAGAGATTTGGATACACATCTTCTGCAGAAAATGTGAAAGCCGCACAGCCGCGCCAAGGCTGTTCAAAGCCCATTTCGTGTGCACCTTACTGCTCTGGTTTTTCTAGATTTATGGACAGTATGGGCAGTAAAACACATCAGTAATAAGATTCACCTTTTAAATCATATTTGTAGTTGGAGAAGGGGCCAGGGCAAAATTTGTCATAATTTGCAAGGATGCATACTTGAACATTATGCTAGACTTTCCTCTGAATTTGTCCTCCACCAGCAATGTTCATGCTCCCACTCAATTGCCACCACTGCTTCTTCTCCTGTTCCTCTTCTGGGCCCTGCATCTTCTTTCTTCAGCCATTGGGCAGCCACTGATAATGTATCTCCTGCACATGCATGGTGGAGTTACATTATTCTGGCACCTGGTTTCTACTTTTGACATCAGATGTCGAGAGTGTACTACCCTGAACATACGCCACAAGCAGACTACAAAAAAAAGAATTGCTAGCAAATAGGTTTTGGAAGATTCAGGAAGTTTTTTGTAAACATGACATGCAAACTCTTCTCCTAAGAGCTACCTGCTAGCAACATTTAAAAAAAACTTTAGAGTGAGTGATGGCCAGTAAATCCAAATAAGTGTTTTGTGAGAGCATGATACATACTTTTTTTTCTCTATTGTTGCACTCATCAAAAGCATCAAGGTGTAATAGGACAGGGCAACTTCCAATTGTACAGGACTTTGAGACACATCAATCAAACATGAAAAAATGACAGGGTACATTTCTGAAGACAATTGTGAACATACAGAGGAATGCAATAGGCCTGCCACTACTAAATAAATACACTGAGTGGCCAGATTATTATGACCACCTGACGTTTGTAGGCAAATTAGCTATAATTAGCTATAATTTTGCGCTGAAGTTGCTAGAGGGCCAGACCATTATAAATAGGAAAGCAGGTTGTTTACCACAACAGTAGAAGTGATTTTTTTTCTGAAGATATGGGTAAACAACGTCATTTAACAGCCTTTGAACATGGGGTGATTGTTGGCGCTCGGAGCCATGGAGCGAGTATCAGCAAAACGGCAGAATTTGTTAAATGTTCAAGAGTAGCTGTTGTTAAAGTGTTTAAAGACTGGACTGTCAGCCGAAAACCTGAGTCTGAACGTGCGAATTGTGGCAGTCAGCGACTAATCAATGTTAGGGCAGAACGGAGAGTGGCAAGACTGGTACAAGACAACAGTGCAGTGTCAGATTCCTCGCCTCACCTTTCAAAATCTCGTGGAGTCACGAGGCGGCCCAACGAAGTACTGATGGGGTGGTCATAATAATCTGGCCACTCAGTGTATAACACATAAATTGTATTTGCTTACGGACACAGAAAGAGCAGTTGGTACACTAGCTGACAGAAAATGTATTATAATATTTAAAATGTGAAAAACTAGCACATTTAAGAATGTTGAACTGGCAGTTAAGTTACATATGGAGACGACTGAGCAATGTAATGTTAAAAATAAATACATCCAATGATACAGAGACAATCAATCAATCAATCTGTTAAATGCTGACCAATATTTATGATTATCGAATCTATTAAACAGGATATGTATAATTAACTAATCAGTGTTTTTCTGTGTTACCTCTTATTTTCAGGGATGTTGTAAAAGATATATTAGCAATATGTAAAAAGCTATGAACTTGTGACAGGCAAGTTTTATCTTTGATTTTCACAAAACAGTTACATATGAAGTCCTTTTTGACATGTTGTAACTCACTATGTACAGAGGAATCACAAACTTGTTTCATGCAGATTCAATATGTGGTTCTAAATAAATAAAGTATAATTTGAAAGCCACTGCAAAAACTTGCCAAATGATACTGAAGATACAATATGTAGATATGTCATCTATGGTCCTGCATTCAGTTTACATTATAGCACAAGTACTCAATCCTTTCCTTACTGGGCTGTTCTTTATATTCTTTCCAGAACTGGAAGCTGAGGAGTGGTGCAAGTGCTTGTGTGTGGAGTGCCTAGGAACCAGACTTAATGATATAAGCCTTGGGGAACCAGATCTACTAGCTGCTGGGGTACAAAGGGAACAAAATGGTGAGTCACTGCATAGTGTATAAAATATGTTATTATACATTTTAACGCAGAAAATGCGAGACATATAATTATGTGCTAAAAGGTTTGCTTTATACTAACTGTTATATACGTATCTCAAATTTTAGTTTGTAGTTCTCTGGTTTCTGTTATTACATTATTTTTTTTCATGTTGAGCAAATGTTACCCATGTAACATCTAGACATGTGGTGTAATTCTATAACCTTTATGTAATTAATGTGTCTAATGAAAACAAATTATAGAACAATTATTTCAGTGAAGCTCTTCAAATATATTGGGCTGATTGCTAAACATTATCAATGCATTGACCTCTATGAATCATTGAATATGAATAATTTTTTGCGTACAGCATATTTAAGTGCATTTTTTTACACCAAAACAGTTACTTTTTCATCTGTCACAATTGTTCTGAAGAAAATATAAACATTGTACAATGAGACTTTTCCAAAATGGGGGTCAGAAATGTTTCTTTACTTTTATTAAATTGGCAAATGCATATTTTTTATTGATTTATTAAGCCCATTTTCTCAACAGTTTACTGTAAAGGATACCTCTAGACAAAGTAATAGCTATTGAGCCTGCCAGTAAGGTTCACCTAATGCAGCTTCCTGCGATGTGGAGGAAACAATGCAGCACTGCTCCTGAATTCAGAGCTGAGTTGGCACTCTCATGGCGGCTGTCTGCTTGCACTTCAGTGGGATGAAAAATGAAAAAAATGTTGCAGGGGGCATGGCCAATAGCATTTAACTGCCAAATCACAAGCCTGTAGGTTGTCAGTCTGTACCTGGCCACACCTAGTCCTGCCCACTGCTTTCTGCATTGACAGTTCTGCCTCCATTGCTATAACTGCCTAATTGTATGATGCAGTGTCTGGATGGGGGGAAGTGTGAGACACAATTGAAGGAGGGTTTGGCACAGTTAGTGAAGGTAACATTTTTTGTTTACTTTATGAAGCATGTGCATCAATTACTGGATCTAGCACTTGCTCAGACTGCCATTCCAGAACCTTTAGTTGTACTTTAAAATGTATCTAAAACATTTCAAACACACATTTTTCATATTGCAGCTTACCAATCCTTACCCTTTTGCTGCCAGGCCCTTCGCTCCACTTTTGACATCAGCTGGCCAGACCACTTTTGCAATTTTTCACCTATTTTTTACATTTACAACTGCAGTTTTCAGAGTTTGTAAAATAACCCCAAACAATACATTTTATGAAAGCACAGGACTGGTAGAATAAAAAAAATGGTGCAACTAATTTTGTAGGTCCTGAGACAGTTGCGCAAATGTTTATCAAATCAATATTTTCGCTAAAAATACACTAAAATTATTATCATCACACACATAAAACATAATTTACTAAATTCTAACAGGGTTATTCACAAAAGGGTGAAGAGTTTGCAGAAGGCAGGAGAAGTGAACAATCTAGGACAACATAGCTGAACTGGAATGTGAGCTGAATTGGAGAATGTTTCCAAATCAGCTATTTTGCCCTAGATTGTTCACTTCTCCCGCCTTCCCAAAACTGTTCACCCTTTTGTGAATAACCCTGTAAAACGTACTAAATCTAAGGGGTCTATTCACAAAGCTGCCGAAGGATCTGGCCGTAGCTTCGGCCGATCCTTCGGCTAGCTTCGGCCCCAGGAACCCTTCGGTTCAGGAGAACCGAGGGGGTGCTGTACGGCCTATTCAAAATAGCCTGTACAGCTCCCGATCACAGCCGAGCGGCTCAGTCGAGCCGATCGCATATGCCTCAGCTCGGCTGAGCCGTGCTGAAAGCC